GCACCCGGAGCTGCCTGTGAGGCGCCACGCTTACCGGTTGGTGGAGCCGTTGTAGCAGTAGTTGGGCAGGAAGTCATAGTTGAGCTCCCAGAAGACATGGAGGGTGATTCTCCCGTAAGGTGCAGACACGTTGTGGTTGGCCTCCCGGAACATGGCATCAAAGCTGTCCAGAGTCAGGTACTTGCTCAGCAGCTTGTGGGTCATGCGGTTGATTTCTAAGAGGCCATCCAGCTCCTACAGGACCACAAAGTCAGGCACGGGAGAGCAAAGTTGGGTGTGGCATGGTGGCCTCCACCCTCCGCATGGGCAGGGCCGTGGTGGGCTGGAGGTGGGCGGAGCACGACAGCACGTGGCTGGGTCAGTGTGCTAGGCCAAGAGCCCACATGCCGGGGGTCTGACAAGTGATGCGAGCCCACTTCTCACACCTAAGTTCATCACGCCCTCTCCAGGGCTCTTAAAACGGCAGTGATGCCCCACTGTCCGATGCTATCCTCCAGACCCTCCACGGGGCAGAGAACACAAACACGTGTCCCCCGCACTGATGACAGACTGTGTCCTCGGGGGTCAGCCTCAGTCGGCCTTCCTGAAACACCCGAGGTAATGCAAAGCTGCGCGGAACTGTGGGCAGCGCGCAGACAGCCTTCCGGGCTCTCACATGGCCCCTCGTGAACCCACCCAGGGCTGTGCCATCCACGTTGGCAGCCACTGACCACATACGGCCACGAGGACGTACGTGGTGGCCTGAACCGTGCTGTGCCATTATGTGTGAGATACAGACAGATTTCAGAAACCAAATATGAACACAAGGAACAGAAAATATCCACGCCAATAAAATTCTTATAACAATTATATGTTAAAATGTTGATTTTTGGCTATATTGCATTAAATAAAATAGATTATTAAAATTAATTCCCCCTATTTCTTTCTCATTTTCTAATGTGACTACAAGTAAATTTAAAATGGTCTCTGTGACTTGCATTCTGTTTATACTGGTCGAAGACTCCACTAAGTCATGAAAGACCAAGGACATGAAAACACTGTGACCAGGTCCAAGCCATGCTGAAGGGAAGGCCACTTCAGCCTGGATCCTGAGGAAGGATGGGGAAGCATGCTCATTACTGTGGCGATGCTCGGCTCAGAGGTGGGCCCAGGAGACAATCCCCACCCACCACTGATTTCTAAGGACAAAGAGTTTTCCTGAAGTTATCACAAATTCATTAGCATGTGCCTGCAGCCATCATTCCTAACCATTATGCCTAATCTGTCATTAATCCTGACAGATTTGGCAAAAAGATTCTTAAATTGCACCTCCTTTTCTGCCAGTTCAGGTCTGAGGACAACTGGATTTTTCTTTCCCTGATCACTCTGCTCAGATATCCACAGGACTTTTCCTTTTCTTCAAAAGTTCAATAGTACAATGTTCACTACAATGTTCCCTGGTGTTGGCCACTTTAGGTCTGTTTTCCCTGGTATGTGATATTTGCTTCTAGTAAGTATTTATACTGTGTTTTTCATCAAAGTTTTCTTGAAATAGCATTTTTAATGTTTGTTCCATCTCATTGTTTGGTTTTTGTCTTCAGGGGCCTCTATGACACATAATGTTGAATCTTCCCTATCTCATCTTCTACACAATTTTCTCTCAAATCCTTTTTGTCTGTCTTCATTTCTTTTTAATTTAAAACTTCTCACCTTTTACTCTTTTACCATATCTTATGCAATAGTGAGATGTAACTATGTGTCCTCTGAAGTCGATTTGGAACTGTGGACACTAACAGCAAATCCCTAGGCAGGCCCAGCTCAGTGCACACTTTTTGAGTTCTATGCAAAAACTTCACCTACAATCAGGTCAATTTATCAATAACGACAAAAGCAGTAGAAGCTCCAACCCTTGCAACCAGTCCTCTCCCAAGTATGCTGCACCTGAAAGAAGGGGGCGCACTTACAACTATTGATGTCAGGTCTTCACTCTCAAATCGCCCAATTGCCAGTTCCAGGGACTTGTACATGGCAGCGGAGACGCGCTGGGTAATCAGACGATTGAGGTCGATGGACCTGCCCAGAAGCTGGGCACAGAGGGTGGAAAGTGTGAGCACCAAAAAACAAACGTGCAAGAGAATACGTACCTACCCCCAGAAAGCTATTCCAAAAGATAAGACAAATAACGTACAAAATTTAGATGGCAGTATGATTAAATATCCTATTTTCCTAGAGCTGAACTTCTGCAAGTCAAAGCTGTAAAGTACTTTTTGTAGTGTTCATTGCAGTGAATTTGCACTTATGTCACAGGCAGAGATGCCAAGTCTCCTGGAGAACCTGGGTCTGTCACTTAGCGTACCCCTTGTAATGGGTTCAGGGTCACCTCCCAGCACAGACTGGCTTGTGTGTGCCTTACCTCCACTGTGTCACAGGGATGAATAAGAGAAAACCACTCCAACTCTACTGCAGAGTAGTAACAAGGGTCTACCTCAGTATCATTTCAATAGCATAAAGACACAGACAAAACTCTGGTGAAAATGCCCCAAAATATGAATGGCGGTTATCTGTAGACTGGAGAAGGGAATGGCAACTCACTCCAGTATTCTTGCCAGGAGAATTCCAAGGACAGAGCAGCCTGGCGGGCTGTATAGTTCATGGGGTCGCTAAGAGTCAGACATGACTGAGTGACTAACACTATCTATAGACAGAATGACATGAACTTTCCCTACAACTTTCTGTATTTTCCTTTTGATTATATATACACATATTATTTTTAAAGCAACAAAACAAGCAGTGCATTTTTACTCTTCATGCCGGCCAAGGAAGAGCTCCTCCCCACCGCTCTGGAAGTCTGAGTTAATCAGTTGTGTCTGACTCTTTGAGACTCCATGTACTAGGTTCCACTGTCCATGGAATTTTCCAGGCAAGAATACTGCAGCGGCTGCTGCTGCTAAGTCGCTCCAGTCGTGTCCGACTCTGTGCGACCCCACAGACGGCAGCCCACCAGCCTCCCCTGTCCCTGGGATTCTCAAGGCAAGAACACTGGAGTGGGTTGCCACTGCCTTCTCCAATGCATGAAAGTGAAAGTGAAGTCGCTCAGTCGTGTCCGACTCGTAGCGACCCCATGGACTGCAGCCTACCAGGCTCCTCCGTCCATGGGATTCTCCAGGCAAGAGTACTGGAGTGGGGTGCCACTGCCTTCTCCAGAGTATCTTCCCAATCCCTGGATTGCAAGCAGATTCTTTATCACAGAATTTGAGCCACAGTGGTAAAGAATTAGCCTGCAATGCAGGAGACACAGGTTTGATCCCAGGGTCAGGAAGATCCCCTGGAGGAGGCATGGCAACCCACTCCAGTATTTTTGCCTGAAAACCCTATGGACCGAAGAGCCTGGCGAGCTGCAGTCCATGGGGTCGCAGAGTCAGACACGACTGAAGCTACCGAGCACACCACTATAACAAGTGCCTGAATCTCCTTCATTCAAGTTCTGACTTTTGGGCTCCTGGAGAGGCCCTGCGCTGGGGCCGAGCCTCCAGGGAGCTGTGCCGGGCAGCCGTCCCTGGCGTGTCAGCTTATCCAAGGGAAACTGTTCATCTTTAAAATCTCAGCTATTTACAGGGATGTTCCCACAGCCACATACATACTGACATCCATTAAACTCTGAGAAGCTCTAGGAAAAACCCCACTTTTCCGCTGCCAGCTCTGTATCTTCCTGCACCCAGGAGAGGCCTGGCTCACCTGCACATGCCTCTGCTTGAGCAGTGTCTCATAGCGGTTCGATGGCGGGAGATGGATGGTTGCGCCCTGATTCTTGCATTCTGATCGTAACCGTTTATCAAGAAGCAAACTAGCACGGAGAGGAGAGAGGACAATTTCTCATGCACAGTGAATTTTAATGGAAACGTCAGATCAAATTGCCCAAGATTTTATACCCAAATTGCTAACCACGTACTTACCTTCCTGCCATAACCTTATAATATGCAAATATCTGGTCTGCCAGCTTATAAACAAATTGGTCAAAACAGAGATTCACCTGAAGAAAAAGAAAGCATGCATTGAATTCTGCTTCTCCAGGGATTCCCCTGGCAGTCCAGTGGTTAGGACTCTGCACGTTCACTGCTGAAGGCACAGGTTCCATCCCTGGTAGGGGAATTAAGATCCCACAAGTTGCACTCTCGCCCCAAATTTTGCTTTTCTGAGTTAAGATCACATTTTAAAAAAACTTAAAAAAATTTTTTTGATTGAGCAATTCAACTTCTAAGTATTAATCTAAAGGAAATGAAAACACTAACTCAAGAAGATATCTGTACCCCAAAGTTTACTGCAGCACTATTTCATAATAGCCAAGACATAGAAACAAAGTAAGTGTTCACTGATGGATAAATGGATAAGATGCGGTATGTGTGTACACACAGACACACAGACACACACACACACAGTGGAATATTGCTCGGCCATGAAAGATAAGAAAACCCTGCCAATTTTCAACAACATAGATGGACCTTGATGGTGCTAGGCTAAGTGAAGTAAGTCAGACAAAGACAAATGCTGCATGATCTCACTTATATGTAGAATCTTAAAAGATAAAAACAAACTCATAAATTCAATGAACAGATTGGTGGTTGTCAGAGGTGGAGCATAGGATAAATGGGTGAAGGTTGTCAAAGGTACAAACTTACAGTTATAAAATAAGTAAGTCCTAGGGATAAAAAAAACCTAAAACCACAAAACCTTGACCCTTCCACAAAATCTCAACCCTTTGTTAAGGCAACTACAAGAGGTTCTCATGAGAAAGGATACAACTTTACAGTCCAATGATAGCAAATTAAATCCATTTCAGTGGGACCAGGAGTAACCACCACACTATCACTGAAAATTATGTCAGAACCTTTCTTAATGATGGAGAAAAATACTTCAATTCTCCTAAATAAAAAGAAATATTAAAAAGTCTCTCTTTATCATGTACTCCCAGGGGGCTAATGTGCACTGTATTTGGGCTCCGCCAGGGGGTATAGTCAAGGCTACGGCTTTTCCAGTGGTCATGTGTGGATGTGAGAGTTGGACTATAAAGAAAGATGAGCGCCAAAGAACTGATGTTTTTGAACTGTGGTGTGGGAGAAGAGTCTTTGAGAGTCCCTTGAACTGCAAGGAGATCCAACCAGTCCATCCTAAAGGAAATCAGTCCTGAGTGTTCATTGGAAGGACTGATGCTGAAGCTGAAACTCCAATACTTTGGCCACCTGATGTGAAGAGCTGACTCATTTGAAAAGACCCTGATGCTGGGAAAGATTGAGGGCAGGAGAAGGGGACAACAGAGGATGAGATGGTTGGATGGCATCACTGACTCAATGGACATGGGTCTGGGTAAACTCTGGGAGTTGGTGATGGACAGGGAGGCCTGGAGTGCTGCGGATCATGGGGTTGCAAAGAGTCGGACACGACTGAGCAACTGAACTGAACTGAGGTGGTATATCCCTGCCTCCAGGCTATATGTCCCAAGGGCATCTGCCCATGGCCTCTCCTGGGCTGCCAAGACAATTCAGGAGATGCAGGGTGGACAGTCCTGGGACTTCACCCTCAAGACTATATTCTCACTTGCAAATGGGATTAGCTCACCCCCTAGGCTGTGGCGCGGACACCCTGCACTCAGAATGGTGCTGCCCCAGGGCCCCCGGGCCTCTCTCCCTAGCCCATCCAGCCTCACCAGGGGGTCCAGAGCAACTCCCCGAGGAAGTGTGTCCTGTGGTGTTCATGGGATATAGGGAATGAGGCCCTTCTGGCATGACCTAAAACAAATCCCTTATGATCAAACAGTAGCAGTGACAAATAGATTCAAGAGATTAGAGCTGACAGAGAGAGTGCCTGAAGAACTATGGACGGAGGTTCGTAACGCTGTACAGGAGGTGGTGACCAAAACTATTCCCAGGAAACAGAAATGCAATAAGGCAAAATGGTTGTCTGAGGAGGCCTTACAAATAGGTGTGATCACGCATTTAGAGCCTGGAGTGTGATGTCAAGTGGGACTTAGGAAATCCTAAAAGATGATGCTGTGAAAGCACTGCACTCAATATGCAGCAAATTTGGAAAACTCAGCAATGCCCACAGGACTGGAAAATGTTAGTTTTCATTCCAATCCCAAAGAAGGGTGATGCCAGAGAATGTTCAAACTACTGCACAATTGCACTCATCCCACATGCTAGTAAAGTAATACTCAAAATTCTCCAAGTTTGGTTTCAACAGTATGTGAACTGAGAACTTCCAGATATTCAACCTGGATTTCGAAAAGGCAGAGGAACCAGAGATTAAATTGCCAACATCCTCTGGATCATAGAAAAAGCAAGAGAATTCCAGAAAAACATCTACTTCTGCTTCATTAACTATGGTAAAGCCTTTGACTGTGTGGATCACCACCAACTGTGGAAAATTCTTAAAGAGATGGGAATACCAGACCAACTTACCTGCCTCCTGAGAAATCTGNTATTCATTGGAAGGATTGATGCTGAAGCTGAAGTTCTAATACATTGGCTACCTGATGTGCAGAGCCAACTCATTGGAAAAAACCCTGAAGCTGGAAAAGATTGAGGGCAGGAGAAGGGGGCGACAGAGGATGAGATGGTTGGATGGCATCACTGACTCAATGGACATGAGTTTGAGCAAACTGCAGGAGATAGTGAAGGACAGGGAAGCCTGGCATGCTGCAGTCCATGGAGTCGCAAAGAGTCAGACACAACTCAGCAACTGGACAACAACAATGGGGGATGAGACCGATATGTATAATGAAATCTGTTAAGGTTAAATTCTCTTATATCCTGAGCTAGAAAATAAGATTTATCTCCTTAATTGCATGTACACAGACTTAATAATTCCACTTAGAGGATTTTTTCCTCAAGAATAACCCAACACAACTAAAAAGTCACATGCAAGGAAGTTCATTAAAGCATTATTTATAATGAGTAAAAAACAAAAAGCTAGAACTAGAGAAATAAAATAGAGATTGGTTCAGTCCATCTGTTTCATAGAATGACCCTGTTCTAGACTGTGTTCATGCAAGAAAACAGGCAAGATATGTGGTGCTTATGACATGGGGTCATGTGAGACATGGGATCATGTGAAAAAAATGTCACCCAACAGCTGATGGGTGGTTTGAAGCTGGTTTGAAGAACACAATCGTCTTGTATGGATGCATAAAAAAAGTGCTGATAGAAGGGTTCATCCCAAAGTGTTTATTTCAAAGTTCATTCCATTGTTTAAATCTCTGTGTATTACAAAGAAAGTCTGCTTCCTCTAATATTCAGAGGAAAAAGGAAATTAAAGAAAGTCTGTTAAAAGTGCCTGGGCCCTTACCTCTGCCTCGATTTCATCATAGAGAAACTGCTTGTTGAACCTGGTGAGGGCGTAGTGGGCGCTGTCATTGTATAGGTCCAGGGAGTAGAGGACGTACCTGCAGAAGGGCAGACACGTCACCCGGCCGCCCACACGGGCTTTCCTGGCTTCCACACCCTCCCCTCCACCAGAAATGTGACACTCACTGTTCTCCTTCCTCATGAGGAAGAATAATTTCTTACTTCAAATGCCAAATTTGGTTCCTGTGAGTGCCCTGACAAAACAGCCCCATCAGGCAGGCTGGGCTTTTGGCAGGACACGCGTGGTTCAGCCACGCCCAGGGCACCGGGCAGGTCCATGACGGCCTCCTGCAACTTCATCTTCTCACTTACCGTGTTTCAAACATTTTCAGGCCAATTTGCAATTTTTTAATAACCACAAGAATGAGTCACTTTCTTACTTTTAAGAATAAACTGCCTGACCTAAAAAGAAAAACATACAAAGGTCCCGGGCCCCATAACTGACCAAGAGCAAATCTGGTGTGGCCAAAGCCCCTCTTACCCTGGACAAAAGGTGGTAACGAGCAGTCTGCAGAGGTAAGGTCTCGTTGAGGGCTTGAGACACATGAGCAGCAGGCCCAGCGCAGCCCTCAGAGAGCACACACACTCACCGAGACCTCTAACGTCCCGGAATAGATGGCACTGCTGCTACAGAGGGAAGGAAGGCTGCTCTCCCGGTGTGCACAGGCCAGGAAGGCGGGGAGGACCGCTGGGCGGGGACCCATCTGCTCACCACACGACACCCTGTTTGCTATTACTTTCCCTCCATGGATTTCATATTTTCTGACCCCTTCATAGTCTCTGACCCCCAGCCCTGACCCTGAGCCTCACACTAAACAGCTCCTCTCCCAAATCCATCTGGGTCTGAGGCCATGCCACACTAGAGGTCAGGCTACCTCTCCTCTTGCTAAGTTCCCAGGACCTTGCTGGCACCTGGACACAGAACTTATTAATCAGTTTTATTGCTTGGGCACCAGATTTCAATCCAAAGCCAAGACACCTGTTCCTTGTACTGATCTCTGAAGTCTCACCCCAAGAATTATGACTTCAAATGAAGCACTGAGAACAATCGGCCCCGCCTCCACCTCCCAAACACCACCAAGGACTTCAAACATCATGGACAGGAGGCTGGGACAGGCCTCCAGAACACTTACTCCATCATTGATGCCTCTTTGGTTTCCAAGATGTGGTCTGTCAGGATCCAGGGCATGGACATCTCAATGGGGAATTGGATCCTTCTGCCCATTGTCAACTCCAGAAAGAACTCTCGGAACCACAATTGAGAAAGGTCACAGCACTGCTGCAGTGTCTCTTAAGGGATTCAAAAGACACCACATTAATCTTCTATAAGCAGAAAAGACTCCACAGGGCAATGCAAGGGAGCACGTGCCAGTCTCTCAGCCCTGGGCCTCGGCGAGTGGACATGAGCATGTGCCTTGCACACAGTGTGGCCACAGACAAAGCCACTTGGATGTGCTGATTCTCGTTCACAAACAGGAGAGTCAGTGTCCAGCACTGCAAGCCCAGCAACACCCATCAACAGGACATGGTTAACACCGTGCGCCTTCTGGCAGGATTTGTTTTACTTGGGATACAGACACAGTATTGTATTCATACTTAGTGCATGTCTATCTAATGCAAAACAGATTGGAAAAAAATGTTTCCGTCCTTTTATGAAGAGAAAAACAGAAGCCTAACTGTTCCTATAAACCTATAGCACTTGCAGCCAAGACAGAGGCTTCGCCCCCTGAACAATGGCTCCAGCACAGAAATAAACATGTACAGCTCCATGAAGGCCAAGGGTGTCCACAGGCACCATGGTCACCCCAGGACGGGATGGGCAGTGTGCAGCTCAGGGCACCTGCTACTTTCTACACTTAGCCTGGGAGTGCTTTCTGAAGCCAGGTGACAGCAACACTGGCCTGAGTTGCTGACCCAGTGTAGGTTACAAAGACTTTGCATCTAGGTCACTGGGCCAGCCCAGCCCAATGAGCCTCACCCTTCTAAGGGCCATGCCACATGGAGGAAGTCCCCGGCCAGCCATGCATTTAAAGCAACAGGCGAGGAAATGCCACGAGGGTTACAACATGTCACTGCCTGGGAGGACAAAGGGACCACAGCAGGGGCAGCCAGCCAGGCAGGAGCTTTCGAGACATGTTAGTGGTGTTAGAATATGCTGGGGCAGACACTGGTCAGCAGTAGGTCTTACCACTGAAATTTATCAAGTGGGTGTAGAAGAATGACTCTCGATGAAATTTTTCTATGTCCAATATGGTGGGCCCCTCAAGGCTACTTCTCAAGGTTTTCTTGGAACCACTTTTGTCTGCAATGAGGGACTCTAGCATGGTCCTCACCATGTAAAGCTGCATTATCCAAGGAAACATTTGTAGGGGAGAAAATATACATGGCACATTAGTTACAACAAACACAGATAAACCACGAGAAGGTCTGCCCCGCTGACACTGTGCTGGCCCCTTGCAGGGGCAGCACCAATCCACACGGCCAAGTCGTTGCTGCTTGGGACAAAGAACTCAGAGCCTCATGTCATAAACGTCAACAAGAAAAACAAATGATGTCTTACCACCAAAGGTTAAAAGGGGCGGATAGACGTAGGACTGCCTCAGAAACGCGTTAACCACATGCAAGAGTCTTTCCGCGCCCACAGACTTGAGCTGCCTGAGCAGCTCGGCAGAGCTCAAGGACTCCGCCATGGTGCGCACCAGGTACAGCTAAACACGGACAGACAGGAGAGCGTTAGTCACGGGGGCATGGGACAAGGACGCACGCGGACGAGCAGGGACGTGCACGCTGGCAGACAGGAGGGACAGGCCCGGATGGCACCCTCACCCTCCGCCCAGGCACCCCAAGATTTCGTAACTGGCAATTCTCCGAAAGGCTGACAGAAGAGACTCTAAAAGCCCACAACACAGAGCTGATGAGAACACAGTTCCCAAACAGGAGGGGGAAAAAGCAGAGGGCAATGAAATCAGACGTGAGGATCAGAGGAAAGCTGCTTGAAGGGGCAGGAGGGAGCTGAGTGTGCAGGAGAAAGACTAGCAATGCTAGCTGAAGACCAGGGATATAGCAAAGCTATGTTTCCAAATTTCCAAAAATTTTATCTTTAGGAATAATCATTTTTTAGACTCTACGTAAAAATGATAACCACACATTTAAACACCCACCAGGAAATACAGTGTAAATATGGACACACAGACTTTCATCCACATTTTGGGGATAGGAGTTGATGCAGTCAAATTAAGTTCTGCATGCAAGTGACCAAACCTGGGACTCATGGGGCGTCTATACCCTAGATTCACTTGGACAAGGAATAAAGAAGCAAAAAAGACCCAGATGTACTTGGCCACGGTGAGGTCATTTCACTCCGAGCCTCCCACCAATCCCCAGCTCACGGTCACCCCACTCAGTAGAGCAAGGAACGAGAACCTGGGTGCTGGAGGGTCCTACAGCGCGCCGCGGCACTTTAATGTCGAAGCCACTCTTTGGGTCCTTCTCGCCTCGCAGGGCTGGGTCGTTGAAGGGCTCATGCCCTGTCTCCCAGTCACACACAGTCTTCCTGATGGCCTGCAGGACACTAAACCACCAGTCAAGTTGTTAGGGTGTGACAAAGTATTGACATCCTCAGCACTTTTACAATCACAGTATCCTAACTTAACTCACAGCCAACTCTGACACAAGAGTTCCCTTGTGGGCAGTGGGAGGACGTGGCAATGAGACAGTTCAACATCACTTTCAAAATAGACCATTTTCTTGGGGACATTACCACCCTCAGAAAATCTAATGTGCTGGTATTTTGCATCAATTAGTCCAGAAGTGGTGTTTGATTTCTTAAATACTGAGTCATGCTAAGGGCAGCAAGAAGACAGGCCCTAAACATCCACTCAGAGTTCAAACAACCTTCTCGAGACTTATCCCATTTTCTCACTTGAATATGGTCACCAACACAATCCTGGGGACTCTGTCCCCACCTCATTTGGACATCCGGATTCCACCACTCCCAACAGGGCTCCACCATGTAGAGTCCCCCACAGGCACCACATTCAGGGCAGACACACCCACACGCCCACTCTGATCACTTTGAGCTAGACTGCACTGCACATTTCCCACACAGTAGCAGTGAGGCTCCTTGCAGCAATACTGAGGCTCACTGAAAACATGAAAATTTTCACTAAGCCTTCCAGGTGAGAGAACAAAAACTAGGAAGCCTGACAGCGTAATAAGATCTTATTAGTGACATTTATATCAACTATAAAGCAACAAAAAGAAATCACTATCCATGTGAGCCTCTCTGAGCTTCATTTTATATAAATGTCTCTGAAAGACGACTTTATCTAAAATGCTGAACATTAATAGAAACCTAGCTTAAGATTGCTGTAGGATCTCTGAAATACGTATGAGGTTTATGACTAATTTGTAGGACAGGCCATAGGAATAGAAGCAAAAATACTGTAGATAATAAACTTTGAAATGGGAGATGAGATGCTGAGTTGTGTGTCCCTACAGTCCTGATAAGCAGAACTGTTGCACAGATTTTGAGACGCACCTATGTCTAAGATACCAAACCCTTGTTCCTGGGTCTCCAGACTGCTTAGACCTTTGTATCTGACTTATTGTAGGTTGTTCAGGTTAATAACTGGACCCATTACATCACATTTAGAGGAAATTCACCAAACAGGTGTCTGGAGGTTGAATATAAGTGTACTGAGCATATTTATAAAAATGTGACCTAAGCTGACCCTTCCATTATGGACGGTTGTGCAGGGAGGTGTGTGCAGCAGGGCTGACCTCTGGATGACATTCTTCTTCTTCTTGATGGCCTGCCGGAGTGGCTCCCTGAGGGTGACCTGGGAGAAGTCCTGTAGTGCAGCATAGACGGTGTGGCGGATGGCATGGTTGAACACACTCTCCATCCTGCCCATCAGCACCTGCAGGCCTTTGATCATGGCAATCACCTGCAGGAGGACATGTGACCTTCAGTGTGTGGAGGGTGGCAAGTGAGCCACCACACGCAGGCGTCTGCCTCCCCTGAGCCCAGGCCCTCCTGTTTTTGCATCTGCAGCTTCCCTGTTTCTGGGTCTGACCCCATCGCACTACAAGTGCCTGACGGCAGGGACAGATCTGCTTGGCCTGGAGCTAACAGGAGCATTTGGTAACTGACTCAAAACACTTCTCAGTCTACTAGGGTACATCTCTCTGTGAAAGACTTCAAACATAAAAGAAGAAAAAGATTGAAGAGAGCAAATCTGTTATTATCTGGAAAAGAAAAAAGAAATTACAAGTTTGTAACCCAAATCCCATCTGTTAACAATGGCATAGTGAATTAAAATGCATAGAAAGTCAGAAGAAAATGCAGTGAACTGCTTAAAGTTCATTTTTGTGATGGCACCAGAGACAGGATTCTATCCTCATTTCACATGCATGTTTTCTCTGTTTGCTTGGAGGATTTATATAATGAACACGGGTTGCTTTTCTAAGGAGGAAACAAAGGGAAATTTTCTATTTAAAAAAGCAAATTCTCCAACTGAAATTGAACTGATTTCAAGCTCACAGCAATCTAAAGGAAATCTAATCCTAAGGAAATCAACCCTGAATATTCACTGGAAGGACTGATGCTGAAGCTCCAATATTTTGGCCACCTGATGTGAAGAGCTGACTCATTGGAAAAGACACTCGTGCTGGAAAAAGTTGAAGGCAAGAGAAGAAGGGGATGAGAGAGGATGGGATGGTTGGATGGCATCACTGACTCAACGGATATGAGTTTGAGGAAACTCAGGGAGATAGTGATGGACAGAGAAGCCTGGTGTACTACAAGTCATGGGGTTGCAAAGAGTCAGACATGACTTAGTGACTGAACAACACTAACAACATATTCAAACTATGGAATGTAGGAAAGGTGTGCTGAAAGGTAAATCTGGAGCTTTGGACTAAATATAACAACAACAATACTCATCACTAATTTATAAAAAGATAAAAATAACCCCCCCAAAGTAGAAGGAAATGAATATCTAAAAGCAAAAATTAATGGAACAGAAAACAAACATATACTAGAAAGTGACAAACTAAGAAGAAGCTGTTTTATAAACAAACAAATGCTCAGGAAGACTGATCAAGGAAAAAAAACCAGACAAGCATTATGAATAAAGAGGGGACATTAGCACACAATCCATAGATACTAAGAGATGATGAGACTGTATTGGAACAGGATAAACATACAGATTGATAGACTAGAATTAAGAGTCCAGAAATAAATCCTCACATTTATAAACAATTTGTTTTCAACAAGGGTGTGAAACAATTCGATAGGGAAATACTATCTTTTCAACAAATGTGCATGCGCTCAGTCATGTCTGACTCTTTGCGACCCGAACAGATAATATTGAGGCACAACTAGATATCCTCATGCAAGAGAATTAAGCTGGACTCTTGTGAAGGAAAGGGTCATATCAGTAGCCTGGGATGAACAAACCCTGCACATTCCCAGGGAAATCTGGCCTGTGGCTGGCTCCTAGGAAACTACTCCAAGCCACTGGAATACTCAGCCCGAAGAATATGTATCTGAGGCTTTGGGCCATTTCAATAGCAGTTTCACCAGACATTTTATGCTAACAATGTGATTTATCAGAAGCAGCTGTTTTTCTTTTAGGTCTCCAGTCTGAGTAGCTGAGTGCTATAGCAATTGTGCTACACGCCAACATTACTGACCCTCAATAAAAACCCTGGACACCAAGGCTCAGGTGAGCCTCCCTGGTTGGCAATCCTCTGTATCTGTGGTCACCCACCACTGCCAGGAGAAATAAACACATTCCCTGCAGCTGCAATAAGGAGGGGGACATCTGGAATTTGCCCCTGGCTTCTCCTGGACTTAACCCAGGTGTCTTTCCCTTTGTTGATTTTAATCTATGTCATTTCTCTATAATAAATCATAACCTTGAACAGAACAGCTACTTAGTTCTATGTAGCTTAGTCGAGCAAAATCTACACTAAGGGTGGTATTGGGGACCTTTGATATAACACCCTATCTCATAGCATTAAAAAATTAACTCAAAATGGACCATATACATTTAAAAATATCTAAGACAAAACAAACAAACAAGACAAATCTTTGTGACTTGGGTTAGGTGGTGATTTCTTAAGATATGACACCAAAAGCACAAGCAACCAAAGAAAAAATTGAAAAACTGAACTTTATTAAAATGAAAGACTTTTATGCTTCAAAAGATCCCATTAAGAAAGTAAAAAGTATATGGGAGAAAATGCTGCAGATCATATGTCTGGTAAGAACTGCTTCATAGAATATATAAAGAACTCAATAATAAAAAGACAAATAATTCAATTAAAAAATGGGCAAAGGATCTGACAATTCTCCAAAAATATACAAACTGTCAACTGCGTCACTCAATTGTGTCTGACTCTTTGTGACCCCATGGACTGTAGCCCACAAGGCTCCTTTGTCCATGGAATTCTCCAGGCAAGAATACTGGAGTAGGTTGTCATTTCCTCCTCTAGGGGATTTTCCTGTCCCAGGGATCGATCCCAGGTCCCCTGCATTGGCAGGCGGGTTCTTCTACCACTGTACCATCTGGGGAGCCCAAAAACTGTCAGTAAGCACATGAGAATATGCTCAACAGCATTAGTTATTATAAAAATTCATATCAAAACCACAATGAGACACTACTTCACATCTAGTAGGATGGCCAGAATCAAGACAGGCATCAGGCATTGGCAAGGAGTTGGAGAAAGTGGACTCTCCTGCACTGTTGGCAGGAATGTAAAGAAGTGTTGCCATTTTGCAAACTATCTGGCAGTTTCTCAAAATGTTAAAGGCAAAGATACCATATGACCCAGCAACTCTACTCCTAGATGTATTATAAGAAGGAAGGAAAACTAGTCCACACAAAAACCTACACACACAAGTTCATAGTGGCATTATTCATAAGTGAAAAGGTAGAACCACCCAAGTGTCTGTCAGCTAATATAGATGAATAAAATATGATATATACATAAAATGGAATATTATTTGGCAAGGAAAAGAATGAAATATTGACATATGTGGGAACCTTGAAAATATTATTAAGTGAAAGAAATCAAGCACAATCACATATTGTATGAAACGCCCAGAATAAGCAAATCTACAGAGTCAGATCAAAGATTGTTAGCTGCCAAAATGCGGGGGTGACTCCCAATGGGTATGAGTTTCTTTTTTGAGACAACAAAAATGTTCCAAATTTGTTTGTGATACAATTCTGTGAATATATCCCCTCAAAGCACTGAATTTTACACTTTAAATGGGTGAACTGTAAGTATGTGGGAAAAAGCTGTTACCAAAAAAGATGAAAACTTATTAAAAAAACTGTGTCAAAAATAATAAAATTTAGAAAGATTCTTAGAAAAATCTTTGAAAATACAACTTACCAAACCTGATACAAGTAATAGAAAATCTGAATACTTCTACAAATAGCAAAGAAACTGAAAGTTTCAAAAGTCATCCCATACAGGAAAAGCTTCACAAGTAAATGTTGGAAACCATTTAAGGAAAAAATAACATCTTACACAAACCACTACAGACAACAGAAAAGACGGGAGTGTCATCAACCATTTCATGAAGCCAGAATCCAAAAATTAGAATGGAAGGTAATCAAGGTGTGGGCTAAGCACAATAACCTCCTCCCTAAAAACACCCTGTGAAAGTGGGTGTTGGTAGCTGGTGGAGGTAACCTCACAACAGAGACACCTGGACATGCTCTCAGACAAATGCCCAAGGTCAACACCAGCATGATGAATCAATAACACTGACAGCATGGGCCTCTGACGTGATGTTATTAAAATGGCATTTCAGCTCTGTGCTCCTCCTTTGCAAAAGCTACAACCCCAGTCTAATCATGAAAAAAACATCAGATAAATTCCAGTTGAGGGATATTCTAAAGACTAGCACTCCTCAAAACTGCCACAGTCATCACAAACAAGAAAAGTCTGAGACAGTGTCATGACCCAGAAGAGTCAAACATGATGACTACATGTGATGTGAGATCCTGGATCAGAGGAAGAATGTTATAGAAAAAGTGAGGATATGTGAATAAAGCATGGGCTTTAGCTAATAATAATGTATTTACATTGGCTTATTAAAAATATAACAATACTAAAATGTTAGTAATAAATGAAACAGGGCACAAGGTATATGGAAATCCACTGTACTATCTTTGCAATTTTTCTGCAAATCTAAAAGTGTTCTAAAACCAAACATCAAAAGAAAAAAGTATTATTAAAAGCCACTCTTACTCATGCACTTCAATGCAAAAATCCATATAAAAATCTTAGCAACCTGTATCTTGCAATATATAAAAAGGATAAAATATCATGATCAAGTTGAGTTTATACCAGGAATGCAAGGCTAGCTTAATATTAAACCTAATCCAAAAAACCCTATCAATGTAAATCTAGCACACTGATAGAATAAAAGAATCATAAAACTATCTTAATGGATAAAAAATGTTTTATAAAACTAGTATCTATCCATGATAAAATCTCTTAGCAAATATGGAATAGAAGGCAATTTCCGTGATCTGAGGAAGGGTAGTTACAAGGAACCTATAACAAATACACTGTATGGCAAAATGTTGAAAGCTTCCCCTTTGGGATGGGAAACAAGACAAAAAATGCCTAGAGTCTCCTTCTATTTAATGAGTAGGGATCCCACCCAGTGTGATTAAAAAAAAAAATAGAAGGGGGAGAAATAAGACTGTCATCATTTCCAGATGATATGATTATATAAGTAGAAAATACAGAAGAATCTATGGATAATTTATTACAATTAATAAGTGAGTTTAGACAAGTTGGTGGATACAAGGAAAACTTATATTTAGAAAAAAATAAAGCCAACGAAAGATGTGCAACTGTTTTACAGATGAAAAGAGGTATTAGAGAATCTTAACAAATGGATGGACATAGCAGATTCATGAAAGACTTACTATGATAAATTTGTCAATTCTTCTAAAAATGGTCTATAGGTTTATTCATACCCTTATAATAAATTTTAACAGGATTCACTGGGACATAAACAGATGGTTCTAAAATGTATGAAAATGCAAAGGGTGAGAAGAGCTAAGAACTCTTGAAGAGAGAAAGATGTACTTTACAAGACACACTTAACTACCGTAATTAAGATGGAGGGATTAGGAAAGGACAGACAGATTGACCAATGGATTGGAACATGAGCAGAAACACACCTGCCCGGGTATGGTCACCTGACGCACAACAGAGATAGCAGGCAGAGCAACTGGGAGGGTTGGAGGAGGTATTTCGGATCTAAATGTGAAAGGCAGAATAAGACATCCAGAAGACAATGTAGAAGACTATCTTCATGACCTTGGGGGTATGCAAAGATTTCTCAAACAAGGTAGGAAACGTACAGCTACAAAACATACATCCAGAAACTAGAAGGCACAGAAATTAAGACCTGTTCATCACAAGAGTCCTAAACATCATGCAGAGCTGGGAACCACACAGCTGTGAGAGGGGTTCCTCCCTCCAACACCCAGGTCTCAACTCGCTCCTCTTGTGTTTGCCAACAAAAAGCTGCTGAGGCTCCCAAGCTCTCCTCAGAACATGCTCTGATCTGGCTCAGGGGAGTGTCTATGCAGTGACCAGGAACCCACAACCTGTTTTAATCTCTATTCTGACATCTGTGACAGATTCAAAGAGCTGCCCTACACAGACGAAACTGCATAAAACAAGTAGTTCATTCATGTTTTTGCCTTTCTTTGTAAAGCAAAGGCAGTCTGAGGTCAGAATTAAAGGAGGAGAAAGCAGGCAAGCCATACCTCCACCAGGGCAAACTTCTCCTCGCTGGTGTAGTTGTAGCGGGTGGCACGCTCATACTCCTCAGCATTGTCAGGGCAGTCCTTGTTAGAGTACTTGTCCGTTGGGTGCACAAGTTTCCATGAATACTGGTGTGATCAAAAAAGAGGGCGACGGTCACACTGAATGCAAATTGTTTAACTGCTGGTCTGACTTACAGGACTACTGCCAAAAGCTACCAAAGGTCAAAGGTCAGCCTCCTCTTGTTTAATGAGTCTGAGAATCACACACAGGCATGAGTGCTTGCATGCACACACACACACACACACACAATGCATGTACACACGTGCACATGCACACTACATATGCATGCACACACAGTCCATCACCATAAAACTGCATAACATTCTGGAAATGTGACTTCAGTTTCAAGTAATGCATCAAAAATTTAAGAAATACATCAGGTAAAATGGTTTGGATATTTTATGTGGAATATCTAAGACTATAAGCACTTTATCACCATTTCTAAAAGAATTAGCCTTTCAAACAATCAAGTATCCATTCAAATATAAAAATTCTTGTCTGAGCAAAATAAACAACGAAACAGAAAAATCTTCTGACTTATGCGTATCCAAACCTTTTTATGCATCATAAACCACTTTACTAATCCTAAGCAAAAGAAACTGATGGCTAGAAATACAGAGTGTTGTCTTTTAAAAAATGAGAATTAAAAATCATTGTAACAATACAAATGTAATTCTACCAATGTGTTTTAAAAGATAAGGACCCTGAATTCTAATATATGTCAATGAAATGTACATTGAACCATCTTAGAAACATTTAAATTAATATATACTCTTATTTCTAGTGCCAAAGATAAAAAGCCAATTTGTTTTTGATCCAATGGCCAAGTTACAGCAGAACAAATATAGTTTAGTCAGTTTATTGACAAGTTTAGGAAGAAAAGCACTTCTAATTAACTAGGGGGTGCATTTCCAAATAAAAGTGAGAGGGCCCACCACTTCCATCACATGAGCACTCCACTGGGACAGCAGCTGAAGACCTTGAAGAGCCAAGTCAAAGAGCTTCCGGTATTCAGCGTCCGTCTTCTGAGCCTCCTGGCGGCCTGAGCCCGTAACCACCTAGAGATGATAGAGCATTAAGAAGTCACCAGTGTCCAGGAAACCACTTATCAAACCCATTCTAGGAGCCTACTCCAAATGTACACTGGCAAAAGTAGTTCTAAAAAACTAGCTATTACTTTAGATGATGCTAGGGAATCAATTATTTTAATAACTGATACACAGAGAAAGGAATCCAGCTCTGGAAGGAGCAAGGAGCTGAGGGGACCACCAGGCTGAGCCTGAGTCATGCCTCAAGGCAGTGGATGCAGCTGTCCACATCCCAGACAATCAACTGGATCCCCCAGCAGACCTCAGCATGGCTGCCCAGGGCCAAGTGGGCCTGGAGAACGGGAGCTGTGTTTGACGGGGCCTCTGATCTGGCAGTGTGCAGGACACACAGGGGAAAGGTCATGGCAATTGATGGCCCAGAAAATGCGGGTGGATGTAGGCATGAGAAGGGGGAGGGTCACGTCAACCACTGCAGCTTATACACGAGGCACAGAACCCTGGGAAAATAAGCCACTACTGCCAGTGAGCAAACAGGGTAAAAATGAGCAGTGACCAGCCGTTTACTACTAAGGAATACACACTTGGTTCTTCAGGTGTGATGCAATTATGGCTATGTTTTAAAAGGGTTCTTCATTTGTTAGAGACACATGGGAAATACATTCAGAGGGAGTGCTATGTTATCTCGCAATTGCTTCAAGCTAACCTGGAGGAGTAACCGAAAAGGGGTAGGTGATGAAGCCTAGTGTGGCATCTGAGGGGCCAGGACTGGTCTCTTCATTTGTGTGCTTGAAAATTTATGTAATGGAGAACTAAAACACAAATAATAAAAACGGAACCCTCCTACACTGTTGGTGGGAATGTAAGTTGGTGCAGTGACTATGGAAAACAGCATGGAGATTCCTTTAAAAAAACTAAAAATAAAATGTCCATATGATCTAGCAATCCCACTCCTGGGCATATACTTGGACAAAACTGTAATTCAAAAAGATACATGCAGGGTACTTCCCTGGAAGTCCAGTGGTTAAGAGTCCACACTTTCAATGCAGGCGGCACAGGTATGATCCCTGATCAGGGAAGATCCCACATGCCTCGCTGCATGGCAAAAAAAAGATACATGTACTCCTATGTTCACAGTAGCACTATTCACAACAGCTGAAACACACAATCATACTACTCAGCCATAAAAAAGAATAAAACAATAACACCTTCATCAACATGATACAACTAGAGATTATTATACTAGTAAATTAAGTCAAACAGAAACAGACAAACACCATATGATAACACTTATATGTGGAATCTAAAATACGGCACAAATCAACCTATCTACCAAACAGAAACAGACTCTCAGACACAGAGAACAGATCTGTGATTGCCAACTGGGAGGTGGGTGGGCCTGGCAGTTTGGGATTAGCATGTGTAAACTATTATTTATAGAATGGATAAACAACAAGGTCCTACTGTATGGCAAAGGGAACTATATTCAACATCAAGTGATAAATCATAACGGAGAAGAATATTAAAAAAGGAATGTCAGTATGCGTATAAGTGAGCCACGCTGCAGCACAGCAGAGATTGGCACAACACTGTAAATCGACTATATTTCAATTTAAAAAAGCGAGTGTGGTGCTGGCCTAAGGACAGACATGAAGGTCAATGGTACAGAACTGAGAGCCCAAAAGTGAAGCCTCAGGATTATAATCGACTGATTCTCCTCCAGCCAGTTTTACTGAGATATAACTGATACACACACAAGGTGTACAATATGATTTGATTTGATAGGGGTTTCCCTACTGGCTCTGACGGTAAAGCATCCACCTGCAATGCGAGAGGACCTGGGTTCAATGGCATGGAAACCCACTCCAGTATTCTTACCTGGAGAATTCCATGGACAGAGGAACCTGGTGGGCTACAGTCCATGGGGTCACAAAAAGTCAGACATGATTAAGCAACTGAGACAAGTGTAAATACTGTGAAATGACTACACAATAAGTTAACATCTACCAACTCACAGTTGCAATTTTTTTTTCCTTTGATGAGAACTTTCAGGATTTACTCTCCCAGGAACTTTCAAATATATAATACTGTACTATTTAACTAAGGTCACCATGCTGCATATTACAGCCCCAGAAATTATTTATCTTAACTGAAAGTCTGTACCTTTTGGCCATCTTTTCTCACTTCTTTTACCTCTTGTCTCTGGCAACCACCAGTCTGTTCTCTGTATTCACGAGTTTGGTTTTCAGATGCCACACAGAAGTGGTATCACACAGTATTTGTCTTTTTCTGTCTGACTCACTTCACTCAGTGTGACCCCCTTAAGGTCCATCCACGCTGTCACAAATGGCAGGACCTCCTTCTTTTGTATGACTGAGTAATAGTCCATTGTATACTATATATCACATTTTCTTTATTCATTCATCTATCTATAGACACTTAGGCTGTTTCTTTGGTTTGAGCATCATAAATAATGTTTCAATGAACACAGAAGTGTACAGGCAATTGATTTTTGATGAGGGTGCCTTCAGTGGAGAAAGAATAGTCTTTAAAAAACAATATTGGCAAAACTGGATATCCACATACAAAAGAATGAACTTGAACCCCTAAATTATATCCTACTTAAAAAGTAACTTAAAGTGGATCATAGATCTAAATATAAGAGCTAAAACTTTTACAAAACTCTTAGAAGAAAACAAGAGGTAAATCTTTCTGACTTGGGTTAGGCAACGGTTTGTTCATTATGACCAACAGCACAAACAACCAAAGAAAAAATAGATAAAAGTGGACGACACCAGGGATTCCCTGGGGGCTCAGCACTGAGGCGCCTGCCTGCCAGTGCAGGGACGTGAGTGTGAGCCTCAGGCCAGGAGGATCCCACATGCCCCAAAGCAACTAAGCCCATGTGCCATAATCACTGAGCTTGTGCTCTGGAGCCTGCGAGCCACGACCAGTGAGCCACGTGCCAAAACTACTGAAGCCTGCATGCCCTAGATTCTATGCTCCGCAACAAGAGAAGGCACCACAGCGAGAGCAGCAGCCTTGAGAAGCCCCTACATGCCGCAGCTAGAGAAAAAGCCTGCACAGCAATGAAGACCCAGCACAGCCAAAAGTAAATAAATAAAACAAACTGGACCACATCAAAAAGAAAAAACTGTCCTTCAAAGAGCATCACTGAGACAGCAAAAAGCCAGAAGAACAGGAAAAAGAAAGGAGATAGAATTCCAAAAGAACAAGAGAAAATATATGAAAATCACATAACAGAATATTAAGAACCTAATAGTAAAAAAAAAAAAAAAAGATAATACAATTTAAAAATGGGAAAATACTTCAAGAGACATTTCTTAAAATTGGCCAATGAGTACATGAAAAGATATTCAGTTTCATTACCCATTAAGGATATAAATCCAAACCACGACCAGGTACCACTTCACATTCACTAGGATGGTCAGAATAAAAAAAATAGAAACAAGGGCTGGCGAAGATGTAGAGAAATCAGACTCCTCACAGACTGCTGGTGAGAATGTAAAATAGTGCAGCTGTTTTGAAAACAGCTTCGCAGTTCCTCAAATGTTCAACAATGAGTGCCATATGACTCAGTAGTTTCAGTCCTAGATATCTACCTAAGAGAAATGAAAACCTACGTCCACACAAACACTTGTACACGGATGTTCATAGCAGCATTATTCATAATGAAATAACAAAATGTGCTATGTAAAAGCAATGCAGTATTATTCAGACATAAAATTATTTTAAATATTATAAGCCATAAAATTATTGATGCAGGCTATAACATGGATGAACCCTGAAAATACAACGTTAAATGAAAAAAGCCAGTCACCAGAGAGCACGTATTATATGATTCCATTTATATGAAATGTCCAGTAGGTAAATCCATAGATAGAAAGTAGACTGCCAGGTGCCAGAAGGAGGGGAATGGGGAGTGACTACTAACGGGTGCAGGGTTGCTCTGGGGATGCTGACAGTGTTCAACAAGACTGTGGTGACAGTTACAGAACTCACTAAATATACTAAAAATCTTTGAACTGCATAATTTAAATGGGTGCATTGTCTGATATGTGCATTATGTCCTCATAAATTTGTTTAAAAATAAACTGAGCAAAGCTTTCAAAGGTAGATCTCTTTTCTCTCATTAAAACCATCATCTGATTATAAGGGCACTCTGGCAGAGCTCGGAAGGCAGACAGGAACCATGCCTGCTGTCAAATGCTCCATTTGGAAAGGCAGACATGAGCTCTCTGTGCTGTTTGAGAGCTCCTCATGAACTCAGCTGACAACTACATGAGGTGCAGAGGGCTGGCCCCCGTCTCTCTCGGTCGGCCACCACCTGGGGTCTGCGCGGAGGTAGAGAGCGTCTGGGCTATCTTTCAGTCGTTTTGGTTACATATTGACTAGTGCTTGTGGTTGAGGGATGGAGAGCTCATGGTCCGGCAGCGGGCAGAACCAGCACACAGAGTTCTTCCTCTGCATGTAATGCTCCTCCTGAGAACCCCAACGTACTACAGTCTCAAAAACCAGACCTCTCTATGTGGCCCCAAGTCCCTAGGCCCCTCTACACCATTTGCAGCACCCATCCATGCCACTGACCACTGCTCTGACACTGATCTGGTGTCTCGTCTACTAGGACGTGAGAAATGACCCTCCCGTTGCTGCTTCTGCTCCCTTAGACCCCTGACCCACCCTCCCCATGTGAGTAATGCTGGCTTGGAGCCAGGCATGCAGAAGGTATGGGCAATGTGACTGGCCCAAACAAGGACACAGAAAACCCAGCTGCAAAGCTGGGGGAATGAACACGGCCCGTGGCCCAAGAGAGGGCACTTCCTCCCACACCCATCTTCAGGCCTTTCTCTGGGCACTTGATGTTTCTTCCCATCAACTTGGAAGCTCCTGTACTTCCTCCCTCTAGACAGGAAAGGGCACAAGTCAACACCACCCTTCTGCTCCTGATGTCCTCCACTCCACTCTCCTTTCTCCTAGCAGTTTGGAACCACGGAACTAGACTAGAAAATGCACTTAATTCATGGTCCCAACTCAGTCATTTTTTGGGGATCACTGCTAATATTTTTCCAAAAAAAAAGAAGATGCTTTTTGGACAGCTGAACAGATCCAAACAAACTCCATTATATTGTATCTGCACTGCCTCATCCATTACAATGACAGCTTGTTAAGTACATAGTGCTTAAACTATGCTTCTCAAAGTAGATGAAGGGTGTAAAATTCAAACTAAATTTGGGTGCAGAGACTACAAGGACATCTGACATGGTGTTGCCAGGTGTGCACTGCAGGCAGAGACCACTCACCTCGCTATTGCTGTAGCGTGCCAGTTCCGAGATGAAGCGCATATGGTCCTCCCGAATCTGGACCATCTGCTCGCAGATGTTGTACTGCGGGCTGCTGCTGGAGGATGTGCAGGTCCATCTGGGGGTAAAGGGGAAATGTGCATGACCTGAGGACACCTGCAAGGCAGGCCCACCCCCAGCCCAGCAGGCCCACTGAAGCCAAGGTTGAGGTGTAGAGCAAACGCGGCATTCTCTGCATGGTAACAGCTGGGTCTGCCTCAGCTCCCCGTGTCGGGTCAGAATACATGGCTGTATTCTGGAAAAGGAACTGTAATTTCTCCTTAATCAGTAAACTACTTTCCACAAAGCTGAGAGTTGCTGGATGCAAGATACTGCATAACCCTTCCAGAGCCCCTTGACACACTGCTGCACAGTTGGCAGGAACTAATATTTCTTTATTATTCACATGTGAAAATATAAACTAGTACAAAACAAGTCAGCCAAAGACTCAGGAACAAAAGTTATCCTTGATGGGAGAGTTCAAACTGACATGACTTGGAAATTAGTCAGTGTTGCCATAACTAACTACGTGTACAACACACCATTTCAGCAGCAAATAGATATAGTCAACAGAGTGGAAAAAAAGGGTGTCAAAGCTTAAATCAGGAAAAAAAAAAGAAAGATGAAATCTGTTGGCATTCTTGGACAGAAAGCATGGGTCTTCGGGCTCAGAGCAGTTCCCTTGGTTTCCTCACACCCAGCACCAACTTGTACAATATTTCTAACAAGTTTGCCCCCTTCGCCAGAAGGAAAGGATGCAGATTACCAATTTTCAGGATGATCAGTACACTATCTCCAGCAGCATCACTTTTAACTTTGATTCCACTATAAGATGACGTGACGATTACAGAGGCACTGGCCAAGGCGACTCCTTGAGTCTGCAGCAAGCACATAGGCCAGGCCCCGCGCCAGGGTCCACTCTCAACACACTGGCCTTCCCTGCAGGCCCGACAGCATGTCCACCTCAGGAGAGGCACACGTGTTATCAGATTTAATGGCAGATGTGTTAGGAAATAAGCTGGCACAGGAGCCAGATGCCAACATCTGCCACTTGCACCAACCCCCAGGGGCCAGACACAGGTGCTAGACTGTTGGGCTGAGCTCTTAGAGCTGACTGCTACAGGCTTAGGCATTTGCCTCAGTGGCTGTGAAACAAAGAAATTAACTGGTAATAATGGCCAATGACGTACACCAGATCATACTAAAAACAAAGTATGCAAAACTCCTTGCTTCCTGATTCTTTCATTGATTTCACCATTACTTATGCTATAGAGATGATTGTGTTTGTTACAGTAGGAGGTGTACACTGCTAACTTACATTTAGGCATTTCTATTTATACCATGGAAATCAGTACACCCTCCAAATCAGAGCTCAAGTCGATGTTGAAAGGAAGAGAGGGTTCAGTGATTTTGAGGAAGCTCATCACATATCAGATTTAATGGCAGATGTGTTAGGAAATAAGTTGGCACAGAAGCTGGCAAGCTGCATACAGCACAGACCCAACGTGACCAGTTTTTATGTGCCCCAGAGCCACACAAATGGTTTTTACAGATTTAAAGAGTAATGAAAAAAAAAAAAGTAACAAGGGATTAGAGTATGTGACATATGTGGCTAGAAAGACATAATATGTTTATAATTTGGCCTTCACAGAAAAAGACTGCTAACCTCTGAGTAGCCAGATTGAGGTGCAACTGTATTTTTCAAAACCATGGCTGAATGGAGACCACAGATCTGGCGAAAGTCAACAGAAGCATCCTATGAGACTCAAGTGACTATGTGGAAGGCACAATAAAAAGAATTATATATTTACTATCACTTGTAACTAAAAGCTGCAGATTCTTTATAACAGGGATTGGTCAACTGTCTTAGCACAGGCCCAGAAAGTAAGTACTTTACAATTTGGAGGCTACACTGTCTCTGTCATATCAGCTGTAGAGCCATCATCTTAAAAACAAACAAACAAAAACAAAACCTCTTTAAAAATGTAAAGACCATTCTCAACAACTGAGACCTTGCAAAAATAAGCCTGGTTGGGTTCTGGCCCTCGGGTAATAGTTCTATATAACCTCTATAAGTTGCATACAAACATCCAGCCCCTTCCCAGCAGACTGGTTGTTAAGCTTTTATCAGCACCCAGAGGATTTGTTTATACTTCCATATATGTGACCAACACTGTCTAACAGAACTCTTTGGGATGATGAAAAGTTCTATATCTGTGCTGACCAAAACAGTAGACCCTAACGATTAGATATCTGAAATGTGGCCATTCTACTAAGAAAATAAATTGCACTTGTAAACGAATTTAAATGTAAACATCTACACACGGAGAAGACTACCATATCAGGCATGTGACTGACAATGTCAAAGGTGGCATCTCTGGATAGATAAGCAGCATGTCAGGAACCACAGTGAGAACACTGAAGAATGCTCTGACTGGGCAACTCACTCTCTGCCTACCGAGATTTATTTTCTTCATAGTGGGCGCTGGTCTTGATGTACCGGGCCAGTTCTATTTGCATGTCTCCAAACAGCGGAACCACCTGGAGTTGCTGTATTCAAAGAATAAAAGTAAAAAACCCAGGGTCATTATATATTGTATTTAGTCACCAAATACAATCGAAGAAGAATGAGGAATGCTAATAATCACTGCGGGTTGAATGCTATTTGTACAAATCACTTACTGCAAAAAAGCTGTAAACAACTTCTACATTCACTTAAAGAACCAATTTAAACATCAAAATTAACCTATCTTGTTATTAGAACCATGGTCATTAAAAAAAAAACAAACTGCATTTCTATATACAAGAATCAATTAGAAAAAAACCAAAGAGAAAAAAATTGCAATAGCATCAAAAAACAAAAGTATGTATTATTAAATCTAACAAAATATATTAAGACTTCAAAACAAAATATTACCAAAAATTCTAGAAAAATTTTTAAAAGTTCTAAGTGAATAGAGAATAATGTTAGGTTCATGTATTGGAAAACATTGTATTTTAAAAATATCCATTTTCCCTAAATTGATCTACAGATTCAACAGAATGCCAAACAATATTCCAAGAGGAAAAATGGCTTATGGGTAGTATGTGCATGTGTGTGTATGTGTGTGTGTAAATCAGCAAGTCAATTCTAAAATATATTTCAAAAGATAGAGGGACAATGCTCAAGGCAACTGTGGAGAACATAACGTGACGACCTGCTGGAGACTTACAGCAACTAAGCCAGCACAGGTGCAGACCAGTGGGGCAGAGAAACTTAAGGCAGAGTCACTGACACAGAGACACCTGCTTTATGACCCAGGTGCCTCCTTGGAGCAATGAAGGAAAACAGTTAGCTAGATATCCACAGGGGAAAAAATATCCAAGACTGTCAACCCCCTATCTCACAGCATACATTACATCAATTCCAGGGGGATTATAGATCTAAATGGAAAAGGAAACGATGATGCTACTAGACGGTAATGCAAAAGAAAATTCTCAAGATTAAGAACCTCAGTTCACCAATGACTCTTCAAGAAAGTGAAAAATAAGAGCTACATCGGGGAAATGCATGTATTTTAGAACACATGTATCCGACAAAAAACACATACCCAGAAGATGTAAAGAACTACAAATCAACATGGAAAAAAAAGAATGAGAGACTTGAAAGGACAGTTCACAAAGAGAACATACAAAAGACTAATAATACTGTAAAAGCAATCAGGGAAACATCAACTAAACCACAAGGAAACACTAGCCAATAAAATCTCAAAGACACACAGGTACACCCTTCAGGATGCCCCCTTCTTCCCAAAGAATGACAGAGCCAAGTGTTGGTGACGATATAAAGCCCCAAGAAGGCTCACTCACTGCTGGTGCGATGCAAGTCAGCACAGCCATGTGAGGGAATTCTGAGGCTGTATCTACTGCACTGAAAACGTCCATTCTATTAGAAGAATACGCAATCCACCACTGGGTACTCATCAGTAAAAATGTGCACAGATGTGCACAAATCAGCACTGTTCAGACAAGCCAAAACGCAGAAACAATCTCATGTTCATCACAGAATGGATAAGTAAATTGCACTTTAGTCATAAAATGTANCCAGCCCAGGTTGGGTGCATGAGACAAGTGCTCGGGCCTGGTGCACTGGGAAGACCCAGAGGGATCGGGTGGAGAGGGAGGTGGGAGGGGGGACTGGGATGGGGAATACATGTAAATCCATGGCTAATTCATTTCAATGTATGACAAAAACTACTGTAATGATGTAAAGTAATTAGCCTCCAACTAATAAAAATAAATGGAAAAAAAAAGAGAGAGAGAAAAAAAAATTAATTAAAAAATAAATAAATAAATAAATAAAAAGAAATGGCAACTCACCTTGAAGTATTTGTCTATTTTGGATAAGTTTATTCTTTTCTTGGCATCTAGTTTATAAATGTTGCTGACACTTCCATCCATTAAATATAGACCAAATCCCATGACCTGAAATCACAAAATGGCACATAAAAAGCTTAGACCTGCAAGTTTAATTATCCATAAACACACTGCTATAGTTCATTACTTTGAAATGATAATTCATTCTTATTTCAAACAGCACTTTTTAAAAAAACTGTAGTTGACCTACAACCCTATGTTAGTTCCAGGTGCACAACACAGTGAGTTGGTATTTCTATACATTCAAAAATGATTACCATAATAAGTCTAGTTACCACTAGTCCACCACACAAAGACAGACAATATTAACAACGGTATTTCCAAAGCAGTACATTTCATCCTACGGACTCACTTATTTTGTAGCCAGAAGTCTACACCTCTTCATCTCACCTATTTCATTCACTCCTCTATACCACAGTTGGGAACCTCCTGTCTGTTCTCTGTTTCTATGAGTCTGTTTCTGTTTTATGTTTCTTCATGTTTTTAGATTCTACATATAAGTGAAATCATATGGTATTTGTCTTTCTCTGCCTGACTTATTTCAGTTAGCATGATACTCTCTAAGTACATTCACAAATGGCAAGATTTCATTTTTTATGGCTGAATAACATTCCATTATATCTAAATGTATATCTATGTAGATATATATAATCTTCTTATGCAATGTACACTTAGGCTTTCATGTCTTGGATATTGTTACCAATGCTGCATATATCTTTTTTAATCAGTATTTTTCTTCATATAAATATCCAGAAGTGGAATTGCTGGATCTTATGGTAATTTTTTTTCATTCTCTGAAGAACCACCGTATTGTTTTCGGTTGTGGCTGCAGCAATTTGCATTCCCACCAGATTTCAAACTGTACCAGCATTCCCTTTTCTTCACTTGCTTGCTAGCAATTGTTATCTCTAGTCTTTTCGACAACATCCATTCTGACAAGTGTGAGATGATACTTCACTGGGGTTTTGATTTGCATTTCCCTGATGATGAGTAATATTGAGCATCTTTCCATGTAGCTGTTGGTCATCTCTATGTCTTCTTTGTAATTAATGCCGATTCATATCCTCTGTCCATTAAAAAAATTTTTTTTCACATTGAGTTGCTCAAGTTCTTTCTACATCTCAGATATTAACCTTCATTGAATNAGACAGAATACACCTTCACTGCTGAGTGTGATGCTAACTGTGGGCTTGTCACACACAGCCTTTATCATGCTGAGGTATGTTCCCTCTATATCCACTTTGTTAAGATTCTTTATCATAAATGGATCCTGAATTTTGTCAAGTTTTTCCCACATCTATTGAGGTAGTCATATGATTCTTATTTTTCAATTTGTTAATGTGTTATCACATTAATTGATTTGCAGTTATTGAGTTATTCTTGCATCCCTGGAATAAATCCCAGTTGATCATGGTGTATGATCTCTTTAATGTACTGAATTTGGCTTGCTAATATTTTGTTGAGGATTTTTGCATCTATGTTCATCCATAATATGGGACTGTAATTTTTGTGTGTGTTATATCTTTGTCTGGTTTGATATCACAGTGATGATGCCTCACAGAATGTCAAAAGCCTTCCTTCCTCTTCATTTTCTGTGGTGGGGGTGGGGATATTTTGAAGATAGTTATTAACTTTTCCTTAAATGTCTGGTAGAATTCACCAGTAAAGCCATCTGGTTCTGGGCTTTCATTTGTTGGAAGTTTTTTGATTACTGCTTCAATTTCATTAGTTGTAATCAGTCTGTTCATATTTATTTTCTGTTTCTTCCTGATACATCTTGGTAGAATGTACATTTCCAGCAATTCATCCATTTCTTCTAGGTTGTTCCATTTTATTGACATATAGTTGTTCATAGTAATCTCTTATGACCCTTTGTATTTCTGTGGTGTTCTCTGTAACTTCTTTTTCATTTCTGATTTTATTGATTTGGGCCCTCTTGCTACTTTTCTTGAGGAGTCTAACTAAAGGTTTATTGATGTGTCTGTTTTTTGAAAAGCAAGCTCTTAGTTTTACTCTTTTCTATTATTTTTAGTCACTATTTCATCTGTTTTTCAGTCCAATCTTTATTATTTCCTTCTACTAACTTGGGGTTTTGCTTATTCTTTTGCTAGTTCCTCTAGGGGTAAGTTTAGATTGGTTATATGAAATTTTTCTTGTCTCCTGAGGTTTATATTGCTATAAACTTTCCTCTTAGAACTGCTTTTGTTATGTCCCACAGATTATGGAACACTGTGTTTCCGTTTTCATTTGTCTCCAGGTATTTTTAAATTTCTTCTTTGATTTCATTAGAGACTCCTTAGTTCTTTAGTAGCATATTGCTTAGCCTCCACGTGGTTTTGTTTTTTTTGGGGGGGGGGATTCTTACAGTTGATTTCTAGTCTCATAGAAGCTGAAGCTCCAATACTTTCACCACCTGACGCGACAAAATGACTCACTGGCAAACACCCTGATGCTGGGAAAGATTGAAAGCAGGAAGAGAAGGGGACAACAGGGGGTGAGATGGTTGGATGGCATCACTGACTCGATGGACATGAGTTTGAGCAGGCTCCAGGAGCTGGTGATGGACAGGGAAGCCTGGTGGGCTGCAGTCCATGGTGCTGCAGAGTTGGACACAGCTGAGCGACTGAACTGAACTTGCTTCTTTATAGCCTGGCATCAACTTCTCCTCCTTACTGATGTAACTTTGGTCTGGCATCCACTTCCAGGACAGTCCTGTCTCATCCACACTACAAACCTGCTCTGGTAAATATAAGCCTTCACTGATAATTTCTCAAAGCATTTCAGGAAATTCCCAGGCAGCTACCCTATCTGCACTAGCTATCTCGCCACTTGCTTTTACGTTGTAAAGGTTGACTCTAGCCTTGAACAGATGAAACTAGCCATGGCTGGCATTAAAAGATGCACCCTCTGATTCTTTACTGTGTTTCTTCCTCCAGTCTTCACAAAGGCTTTTAGCTTTCCTTTGAATCAGCATTGAGTGGCTGACCCTGCATCTACACGCTGAGAAGTTCCTCGATCTCCTCTATCATTTTTCTATACTTCTTCGACATTACTGTTGACATCATAGGCACAGTGAGCTTCCACGTTTCATGATTTTGTCCTTGTTTTTTAGAACTGTGCTGTTAAGTCTTTGTTTTAGTCTATTTTGTCTGATATAAATATTGCCACCCTAGCTTTCTTTCCACTTCCATGAAATATCATTTTCCATCCCCTCACTTTCAGTCTATGTGTCTTTAGATCTAAAGTGAGTCTCTTGAAGGCAGCATACATATGGATCTTATTTTTTAACCCATTCAGCTACTGTGTATTTTTGAGTGGAGCATTTAATCCACTCACATTTAAATTAATTATTGATAGGTACTTCCCCAGTGGCTCAGCAGCAAAGAATCTGCCTGCCAATACAGGAGACACGGGTTCAATTTCTGTGTCAGAAAGATCCCCTGGTGAAGGAAATGGCAACCCACTCCAGTATTTTCGTCTGGGAATTCCCATGGATTGAAGCAGCCCACAGTCCATGGAGTCACACTGAATCAGACACAGTTAGCAACTAAACAACAACACGCTTATTGCAATTTTATTCACTGTTGAGTTCCTGAGTTTTTCATAGTCCTGTTCATTCCTTTCTCCTTCTTTTGCTCTCCTCCCTTGTGATTTGATGACTATCTTTAGTGTTAGGTTTAGATTTCTTTCTCTTTTTTGTGTATCTATTATAAATTTTTGGTTGTGGTTATCATGAGGTTGATATATAGCAACCCATATATATGTATATATATGATTATTTTAAGTTACAACTTAAGTTTGGACTCATTCTAATAACTCTGCATTTTTATTCCCCTACTAATGCTTAATGTTTCTTTAATCATGTTTTATATCTTTTCTATATCCCTTAACTATTTATTATGAATATAGGTGATTTTACTACTTTTGTCTTTTAACCTTGCTATAAGTTGATCTACTACTTTTACTGTTTACTTGTCTTTTCCAATGAGATTTTTCTTTTTGTAACTTTAATATTTCTAGGCTTGGTAAAAAGTATTTTTAAAAGCTCCTCAGAAATTAACAGCTAGCTCTTCACATGAAGCTATTTTATGTCACCGCTTGTGTCCTCTTACATGTATACACATCAGCTCCCCCTCTCCTGAAGCACAATGCAATAATAATGTGAATTTCCAAAAGCACCTATTGCCAGGGGGCTCTTGTACCAATAGGCGCAAACAGAATGTTTCCAGTATCATAAAGCACTCCACTGCACAGTGCCCTTTTTCTCTGACCGCCCCCCCACCCCATGCTGTTTTCCTACATGGAAGAAATCCTTGAGCTGGGCCCACTTGCGTTGGGCCAGCAGGACATCCAGCACAGGGTCCCACAGAGCTGCCCTCTATGAAGGTAGACAGCAGAGTGAAGAGAATGGCAGAACCATCTCCTCAGAGCTACTCAGTTTTCCTGGGTTCTGTCCAACATACACATTATTAAACTTTCATTTGATTTAAAAAAAAAAACAGTTTCTCATTTTCCCAATGAGAAACATCATTGAAAACCTCCCCTACTTGAAACAGAGTAATAATGAGGAATATGTTAAATGGCATGATTCTTGAACAACAAAAGTCTACTACAATCATGGTGACGTGCATGTATGCTAAGTCGTTTCAGTCATGTCCAACTCTGCAATGCTATGGATTACTGTAGCACGCCAGGTTCCTCTATTCATGAGGTTCTCCAGACAAGAATACTGGAGTGGGTTGCCATGCCCTCCTCCAGGGGCTCTTCCCAACACAGGGATCAAACCCACGTCTCTTACGTCTCCTGCACAGGCAGGCGGGTTCTTTACCACTAGAATAACCTGGGAAGCCCAATCATGGTGACACAGTATACTAAATTTCTAGGAACTACATCCCTGCCAAGTAAAATCTGGCACAATCTCTGCTATGAGAAGCTTTATGCTGAGAAAAGTCCTTGACCAAAACCTCCTTATCTACAAGCGCCTTCTCCAGGGATGGGCATGAGATCTACTTGGCACTGGGCTCCAGCTTGGGACACACTCATGGGAATATGTCAAGGATTTGTAGTGCAAACTGCATGCAGGGTGGAAGATGCTATATGTACACACACACACACAAGCATGAGAGAAAAGGTTGGCAAAACAATCATAAAGTTCAGCCCATTCATGGAAAGAAGGCTGCCCCTTTCTCATGGTGCTCTTGGTAGTCTTCCCTCAATACACGTACTTTGAGAAGCATGTGTTTCTCACTGGGCGTCAGGTACATTCTATTCTCATAGTAATCCACACAGAGATTCACGATGTCTGCTAGGAGCTCTTCATAACCAGAAATCACTTCAAGCTGCTGTTGCAGAGACTGAAACACAGAGTGAGATCTATGTCACTGACCACTCTCTGCCCCTCCACCCCCTAGCAATGTGCCCCATCAGCAAGTGTGAATTACTTGTGTGATCTTGTTGTGGTTGGCCAGGAACATGGATAGATTCTGTGATTCCTGGATGGACTGTGGATCTGCCATTTTACGTAAAAACTGAGCAGCCCTATAAAAGAGGGGGGAAAAAAGGGTTAATCAACCAACATGCTTAATGATATTAAAAAAAAAAAACAGCCTGGGAAAATCAAAATTACTTTACTACTGCTACAGTTATCTGCAGAAAGGTGCCTCACAGACGCTGGTTTCAATTTCAGCCTCCTCCAGCTTCTCCCCTGAACTCCAGGTGAGTCTCTCTGCAATGTGGACAGCTCATGACCCCACTGTCCGTAGCTGGAGGACCTCCTCAGAGACGTGGAGCACCACTCACAGGTTCTCCTAAGGGGCACCGACACAATGGCCTGTCACGTTGGCTCCATCCCCAAGTCTGAAAAGGGCTGACACTCCCTCCATGATTCCAGTGCTGAGAGACACAGATGGCCAGCACCGTTTAGGTTCTCTGTTGAGAAACTTATGGGCAGCCAGACCTCCCACCAGTCAGGGACCACCCCACACACAGTTCTGTGCCAAATGTCTGAGACAAAATCCTGATTCCACCACCAATTTGCAGCTCCATCTTGGACAAACCTAAAGATCTGGTACCAAGTCTAACATGAGGAGTGGGTTTTCCCACACCATCAAGCAACAGTCTAACACCAGCTGGGTGGCCTGCAATGAACTCAGTTCTGACACTGCAGGAAGACAGCATCAGACCCCATGAGTAGGGCAATGTATGGGAAAGAATGGGGGCTTCCATGACCTCAGCAATCACCACTCTACCAAACTTCCACATGTTCACCAACCTGGAAGCTCTCTGAACCCTGTCCTTTGGGCCTTTAATGGAAGATTCCTCACATAAACGTGTTTGATTAGATTACTGGATGCTGGCAGTGGGTTCAACCTCTAACCCCTCTCTCCCCTGAGGTCAGGAGGGTAGGACTAAAAGTTTCAACCCTCCAGTCCCAGGGCTGATTCCTCTGGTGACCAGCCCCATCCTGAGGGTACCTAGGGGCTTTCCAAAATCACACTAACATAACAAAAGAAACTTTATTGCTTTCATCATAGGAAATTCCAAGGATTTTAGGAGTTGTGTCAGAAATAAGGATGAACACACACTTCTTATTATAAATCAATACATACCCCCTGACAGGCTGACAAGGGAACGGTGGACACAGAAGGACCTGGACACTGAGGTCCAACGATCCTGCACAACATGTGCTGAGTCTCCAGTTTTTACAAAGCAGTATGAAAGCACATAAGAGGACTCTGCACATCTAGAGCTCCCCCTAGAAAGTTTAGGACCTGTCTGTGCAACCTAAAGTTGCACGGTTTTACTAAAGAAAAGCTTTCATGACAAAGACTAGTAACCTATCCCAACTGTCATTTCCTTTCCTTCCTGCTTCAAAATAAACCCTGAGTTTCCATAGTGCAGCAGTGTGCCTCATCTCCACCAGGGATCAACTGCTCAGCCATGAGATATAATGTAAAACTTTGTAAGGCACTTGAAAGTTTACTGATAAGAGATATTGTGGGGCCCTCAACTCTCCTTCCTTCCTGGTGACCTGAATGCAGAGATGACACCTGGAGCTCAAGTAGCCATTCTGGGCTACAAGGCAACACATAAAGACAGCAGGAGCTCTGGTTCCTGAATGGTGCAGAACCCACTTAGCTGCAGGCCACCTACATCAGGACATTTCAGGTGAGAAATAAACTGTAATCTTGCTTATTTCTTTCAGTTTAAAAAAAAATATATATGCAGTAAAATAATATTAACTAGCATGTTTACATTCTTTTTTAAAGAATGTATAGTGTTCACTTTATTGACTTGAGTGATTGTTGAAGCTGCAAGAATGGAAATTAAGCAAAGGACCAAAAATACCTGTTTTTATGTTCCTTAAGCCTCACCATAACAATATGGGTTGTCTGGAACTTATACTTAGAAGAAGCTGTAACTACCAGCTAGGTGCAAATAAAGTGTTTTTTGATTTTTTTTTTTTTTTAATAAAAAGGGTTTTGAATGTTGACTGTGGTGTGGGGGCTGGGGACGAGTAAGGGTTATTGTCTGGGAAAGTGAACCAACAGAGGGTCCATAACAGAGATCATAGCAAGAGGATGCTGGAAGGATGAGGGGTGCCTCAGCCCTCTTCTGTGCTCAGGGGAGCCTGGGGGGTGGCAAAGATGGTGGGCAACTTCTGAAGGGGGTGCCCAGGGGCCCTCCAGTGGCCTTCCACAGAGCAGTCCCATCGCTAAACTGTTTTCCAGATTGGGCTTTGAAATAAAGGTGCTACTGATGAGAGAGAGAAAAGAAACCTTTTTAAAATGAAAAACCACTGGTGCTGTCTACCTCCCCATTTCTCTGATAGAGTCAGAAAGGCTAAGAAAACTGGTCAGAATCATGCAACAAGGGATTTGTGCCATCAGGAGCAGAAGCTGTCCTCCTGGACTGGGAAGCTCAGAAGCCCCATGCTCCACCAAGAGTCCCACACACTTGAAATCCCCGAACACTGGCATCAAATGGAGACAACTCCAGACTCTCCTATTGGAGAGGAGTTAACAGAACAATTCAAAAGACGTTGTCATTCTGAAGATCTACACTTGCATGCAGAGCCAACTCTTGGTAATGAACGGAACACCTGAACTTATTTCACAAGAACAAGGCTTGAAGTCTGGGAGATCTAGCTCCACCCCCACTGCTGACCCAAGCTCAGATCCGTTTCGTGCTGCATCTCAAGTTGACTTCATTTTAAAGACACAGCAATGGTTGCATGATTTTAGATGTGTATTAGGGTTCAGGGTAGGCTGCCCCCAAATATGCCACTGTGGCATACTGATTTATTCAGAATTAGTTACTTAAACAGCTGCAGCAAGTACGTTCTGACCTTCTCTGTGTCCTTGAAAGCAGGAAACAAACCTTCCACATGAAATGTAACCTCCTTGTACCAGGAGGTCAGGAGGCATCCTCATCACCAGAGGCTGTGTGAACAACCTTCCTACCTCCTCACTCACTGACCATGCCAACTCAAACTTCTCTGTCTTATCAATTCTTCACAGGTTACTTTTTCTTTGTTTAAAAGGTTACTTCTTTGGGTCTCATATCTTGGGACCCCCTCCATATTTATTAAATTAAATTTGTTTTGCTCTTAATTTATGCTTTCTTAAAGTCAGTTCTCAGGCAAGAATCTAGAAGGGCACAGGAAAAATTACTTTTCTTTCTCTACAAATGAAACCACAGCCTATTCAGATGCAAAGTAAATCTCTTCTAATTCAACTGTATGGCTAAGATTCATTGTCTAACAAAGGAAACAGAAGTCAGCATCTCACTGCAGCCAACTTGTTTTAACAGTCTAGGGCACAGACTTTCTCTAGAGAGTTGGTTACAGGGCAGCTGCTCCACTCTACCTGCCACCAACACACTCAGTCTTACAGACACACTGCTGTGACGTGCCCTCCGAGACAAGACATGCAGGCTCACGGCAGCACATTGTCCTCTAGGGTGACGGGAACCCAGAGCCCACTCCACACACAGACTACAAGAAAGCTTCGCAGGGCTCGTGATCTGTCTCAGGCCCAAGAATGGCCCTGGTGGGTGCCGCAGCCACCAGGCAGGGGTGCCCGGGAGCCCAGGGGTGAGGCCCAGGCACGCTCACCTCTTGTAGGCCGAGTGGTCGTTCTTCACACTGCACTTCATGTTCTTCAGCTCGTCCAGCACAGCAAACATGTTGATGAACTTGCCCAGGGTGATCAGGTAGGCTTCGGACACGAAGTCCTTCCTTCTCTCTGCGTGGCAGAGGCGCCTCACCTCCCCACAAAAACGCTCAATGGCGTTTCTCTGTGCAGACAAAGCAGGACAAATACACTGCCTTCAGGGACGGGCCCACCCCAGACCCAGCTCCAAGCACAGGGTCCAGACTCATATTACTCTCTGATGAAATGCCCAACCAACAGGTGCGTATTTACAGCTCAGGTAAAGAGACATTTTCTAGAAAGTGATTTCCACGTGTCTTTGCTCTGTAACAATCATCATCGATTTTGCACTTTACCATGCATACATACATATATACATACATAGTATGTCCCCAAAGTAAAAGAATTTTGTTGACTATTCCAGCAAAGTTACTGAGCAAAATGCTGCAAAAGAACATCTGTAAAGCAGATTGCTTTAGCTTTCAGAGTTGAAAAAGGGAGTGGGAGGATTTCCACTTGACAATTTTTTAAGATAAAACAAAAACTCATCACCTAAGGAGTTGTATCTTCTCTGTTTGCTAAAGGAATCTATAATAAAAAAACTCACACACATTTCTAAAGTATGTCTTTAAAAACCCCGAAAGTCCCTCCTGTGGCCACCCTGCCTAACCCAAGGGCCAGAAGGAGTCAAAACCAGGGTTAAGCCCACCAGAGGCAGACAATGGGATGAAAACATGTGAAAACCAGATGAATCAAAAGTGCAAGCACACTGATAGAAAGCAGTCTTCATGCAGGAAACACAAATTCTCTCCCAAGGGAAGAAGAGAAGTGAAACACAAAAGCAGCTCGCTCACCTCTTGTAGGCCGAGTGGTCGTTCTTCACACTGCACTTCATGTTCTTCAGCTCGTCCAGCACAGCAAACATGTTGATGAACTTGCCCAGGGTGATCAGGTAGGCTTCGGACACGAAGTCCTTCCTTCTCTCTGCGTGGCAGAGGCGCCTCACCTCCCCACAAAAACGCTCAATGGCGTTTCTCTGTGCAGACAAAGCAGGACAAATACACTGCCTTCAGGGACGGGCCCACCCCAGACCCAGCTCCAAGCACAGGGTCCAGACTCATATTACTCTCTGATGAAATGCCCAACCAACAGGTGCGTATTTACAGCTCAGGTAAAGAGACATTTTCTAGAAAGTGATTTCCACGTGTCTTTGCTCTGTAACAATCATCATCGATTTTGCACTTTACCATGCATACATACATATATACATACATAGTATGTCCCCAAAGTAAAAGAATTTTGTTGACTATTCCAGCAAAGTTACTGAGCAAAATGCTGCAAAAGAACATCTGTAAAGCAGATTGCTTTAGCTTTCAGAGTTGAAAAAGGGAGTGGGAGGATTTCCACTTGACAATTTTTTAAGATAAAACAAAAACTCATCACCTAAGGAGTTGTATCTTCTCTGTTTGCTAAAGTAATCTATAATAAAAAAACTCACACACATTTCTAAAGTATGTCTTTAAAAATCCCGAAAGTCCCTCCTGTGGCCACCCTGCCTAACCCAAGGGCCAGAGGGAGTCAAAACCAGGGTTAAGCCCACCAGAGGCAGACAATGGGATGAAAACATGTGAAAACCAGATGAATCAAAAGTGCAAGCACACTGATAGAAAGCAGTCTTCATGCAGGAAACACAAATTCTCTCCCAAGGGAAGAAGAGAAGTGAAACACAAAAGCAGCGTTTACTTTGAAACAGCCAGTCAAGCTTTAGCCTGTCAAAGGTTTAGTTCCCTTTGGTCTCAAAGCTGTTGTGAGCATCTGAATTTACATGCAGTTTGTTTAGTTAGTACATGGTGCCAGCGTCCCACTCCTCTGCCCTAAACCCCTGGGGTCATTTCACCGTTTTACCTGGAAGTACATAAAATTCATCAGTTTTGTGACCTCAGGCTCAAGGACCTCCACGGTTTTCTCATAAATTTCAACTCTGTTAGGCTGTTCGTTACATTTCACCTGGAAGTAAAGGAGCATGACAGACAGGCTTCAGCCCAGAGAATGTGAGGAGCCGCTGGAGGCGGGGTGCGGCGTGCCGGGCAGGGATGAGGCCCGGTCTGTCTGGAGTGGGGCGTGGCCAGTGGGGATGGGCGGGGTCTGGCTGGGACTGCACCTGTGGGATGGCCCGAGAGCAGCTTCTCCAGGTGTAGAGCATGACAGCGTACTCTTGGCCTTCCTCCAGCATCTCATTCTGCAAGGGTAGACCGGGCAAATCAAAGGCAAGCAGAACAGTCACAAACTGCTAATACATACAGCCATAAACCAGAGGGAGAGGCCAGGAGGCTGACTACAGTCTGGAAATTCGTTTTAGGTTGGTTTAAATTGTTCCCAGGTTTGATCTAATAACTTCACTTGTACAAATCTGGCCAGGGAGAATAATTATGTATTTAGGAAGATATTCATCATTGAACTTGTTACTATGAGAAAGCAAGGCAAACTAAGTAAACACGCAAAAATTGTTAAATTTTGAACATTTATAAAATGGACTAGACAGCTATTAAAAATTACTTCATCTGGTGTAATTTAATGACATACCAAAATGTTTGTTAAATCATTAATATACATAATTATAACAACAATGCAATTCATTTCTGCAATCTAAATCCCACACGGGTGTGTGCCTGGTACGCTTGAGCACAAGCGTAAGCAAAGGAGTGCGCTGGCTGATGTGACAAAGGTTTTCTCTGGGCCACAGAAGCCAGCTGTTCAGAAAGAGCATGTACTGTTCTTAGTAACAGAATAACACACACACACAAAAGACATTTGCCATTCAGATGTGTCAACCCCTGGCCTCCCACTGAGGAAACCATGTAGTTACCATGCTAGAGTGGACAGTTGCTTGTTCAATGTATCTTGCGATGCCGGTAACAAATGCATTTCTGTCTTCAAAATTAGTGTTGAAATTTGGCTGGAAGGAAGAAGAAAACCATCACATGGAGGTCGGCATCACAGGTCTCATGTCCCGCAGCCGTCCAGCACCCACCTGATAGAGCAGTGAGGACGGTGGGGGCTCAATGCAGGGCTGCTGGTCAGGCAGAGGCAGCTCCTCCAAGAGGTCCACGTTGGACAGTGCATCCTCCAGGGTCACCTGGGCTGCCATCCTGGCCTAGGACCAAACACAAAGCCCCTGCACTGTGAGGAAGGGCATGACAGTCCCTCCAGGGTTGGGTACTGAGGCTCCTGCTTCCCTGTGCCTTCTCCTTAGGGAGCTGGGGGTGGCAGAGGCATCTTAGACTGTCCCTGGGGCCTGGCATCTCTCTCGGGCCTCATCAGCAGGGGCGTCACAACACAGCTGCTGCATGTCGTGGTCTCACAAGGGCCAACACACGTGCCAGGGTTCCTGCCGCCCTCCCACCTCAGGGCCGTCATCCTGGAGGGCTCTCTGAGAGGGTCCGACAACCCTTTCACTGAGCTGGGGGCAGGAAGGAGTTCCTCCAGGACTACGTCTGTCCTCAGGAGGCCAGCACAGCCTCGGAGGGGTAACAGTGCTTCCAACCGATGACGCTTCCCAGGCGGGTCCTCCGAGCGGGGCCACACGCTCGGGATGAAGATGCACAGAGCCAGTGCCCTGACTCCAAGGATACAGGACAGCCTGCAGGGCCCAATAAGGTGAGGGCCTATGGCTACGGAAAGAAAAGAGGGAGAGGGCCACTGGCAGAGGACTGAGAGCCTGAACTCTGTGACTGCCACACGGAAGCACAGAAAAGCAGATGGACTTAATCTGATACATCTATGCTGGCTCCAGAAGGGAGGAGTCAACAAACTCCAGCTTGCCTCCAGCTGAATGTTGCTGTGATCCCGGATGGGACTCAGGGAGCAACTCTTAGCTCCACATGGACATGTGAAGCAGCCCTGACCCCAGCAGGATACGTGGGGCAGCTACGTGGACAGCTATGTTCATTCTGAGACTGGAAATAACAGCAGGCAGGCTGCGAAAGAACACTGGAAGAAAAGGAAGAGGTACCCAGCTGCTCCACTTGGCACCGGTCACCAGACAGGCATGGGTGAGGAAGTATGTGGCGAGGCAGGTTTCCAAGCCTCAGCACGCTGGTCAGAGAACCAAAAAGGGAAGCCCAGGGCACTGGAAAGCCCCAGGGACAATGTGGAGAGGAAGAAGCTTGGAAGAGCAAGCCCACAAAGCTGGTCAGAAACGTCATCAGGCTCCCCCTCAGGCTGCACATGCGTGGATCTGATCCTCATATCCCAAGCCCTGAGACCACAGCCAGGTCCCAGACGGCTACCGGAGACACACACAGAACAGATCCAAAAAGCACTGCTGAGCTCCAAAGACAGGAGTGACACTGCACCATAGTCCAGAAAGGACAGGTCAGAGCTGTCGCCTAAATCAAAGCAGGTTGTTTGCCAGCTAAAATAAAAACAACATTTCCTAGGATTTCAACAAGACCCAGAGTCTCATACTATAATATCCAAAATGTCCAGCTGCAATCCGAACTACTCAGTAAAGAACCAGTAATGTCTTAGCTCCTACAGGAAAAGATGAGCAACAGATAGCAATGCCAAAATAATACAGATGCTACAATTATCTACCAGACTTAAAGTACCTACTATAAAAATGCTCTAAACAAACATGGCACTCCTGAACTGAACAAAAAAACTGAACGTCACAAATAAATAAATAAATAACCGAATGGAAATTTAGAACTAAAAAATACATCATCAAAAAAATCTACAAACAATAAATGCTGGAGAGAATGTGGAGAAAAGGGAACTCTGTTGCCCTGTTGGTGGGAATGTAAATCGATACAGCTACTGTGAAAAAGCGTATGCAGAGTCCTTAAAAAACTAGGAATAAAACTACTATATGACAAAGCAATCCCACTACTGGGCATATACCCTGAGAAAATCATAATTTAAAAAGACATCTGTACTCCAATGTTCACAGCAGCAGCATTTACAATAGCCAGGACATGCAAGAATCGCAGACATCCATCGATAGATGAATGGATAAAGAAGTCATGCTACATATACACAATGGAATATTACTCAGCCATAAAAAGGAACAAATGTGAATCAGTTGAACTGAGGTAGATAAGCCTAGAACCTATTATACAGAGTGAAGTAAGTCAGAAAACAAATTATCACATATTAACACATATATATGGAATCTAGAAAAATGCTACTGATGAACCTATTTGGAGGGCAAGAATAGAGACACAGACGTAGAGGATAGATGTACAGACATAGAGGGGAAGGACAGTGTGGAACAAACTCAGACAAGAGCACTGCCATGTACACACCACCACGTGTAGAGAGAGCTAGCGGCAAGCTCAGCAGGGTGCTCTGTGATGACTTAAGAGTGGCGGGATGGGGTGGAAGGGTGGTAGCTCAAGTAGGAAGGCATGTACGTATACACACGGCTGATTCATGATATTGTATTCCAGAAACCAATACAACACTGCAAAGCAATTGCCCTCTAATTAAAAATACATTTAAAAAATACAATACTGAAATTTAATGAACTCCCCACATGAGCTTAAAAGCAGAGGAAAGATTCAGTGAATTTGAAGACAGAGCAACAGAAATAAGCTAATTTGAATGACAGAGAGGAATAAATGACTGAAAAAAATGAAGAATCTTGAGGACCTCTGGAACAAGAGGAAAATATCGCACACTGTCTCATAAAAATACAAGAACAAGAACAAAGTGTCTCAGCTGGATAAACAGTTGAAAACAGGACTGAAAACTTTGCAAATGTGTTTACAGATTCAAGAAGCTCAGCAGACCCCAAACAAGACAAACCTAAAGAAATCCCTACCCAGACATATCACAGTCACACTGCTGAAAAATAAAGACAATGAAAAAATAGCTTAAAAATAGCCTGAGCAAAGTGGTTCATGACCTAGAGAACAATAATTTGTGAGAAATAAATTTCCATTGTTTATAAGCCAAAATGAGAGAGAAGGAGAGGGAGGGATCTAAGAGGAGTTAAAAAATAAAATGTGGACCTAAACCCAAACATATCAATAATTAGATTTATCAAAGTAAGTTGAAACACACCAATTAAAGACAGAGATTGTCAGAATGGATTTAAAAACTCCTGACCCAAGCATATGCCAGCTATAAGAAACTCACTTCCAACATAATGACATAGGTAGCGGATAGTAAATGGGGAAAAGAGAAACCACACAAGACTAGTCAGAAGGAAGCTGGACTGCTCAAGCAGCAGAGAAAGCTGGCTTCAGAGCAGGAAATGCCAGGGATAAAGGGGGTGCACGACGGAAGAGCACTCAGAAAGGGAGCAGCCACGCTCAGTGTGAGTGCTCCACAAGAGAGGGTCACACCAGGCAGAGGCCCGCAGCCCGAAAGGAGAAGCAGCTCAGCCCTGGAGACAGCGACCGCGCTCAGCCAGCAGCGCGGGGAGGACAGACGCCCCTGCCTGTCCTGCCAGCGCTGCACAGAACTCCCCCACCCCGACAACGGCACAAGACCTCCTCTGCACGGTGCTCACCAGACACGTTAGTGCGAAACGTGGCAGATATTTGTCACAGCAATGAAAGAATCTCCCTTTCATTACCAACCTCCTCCTGTCATCAGAACTTCCTATTCCACACACTCAAGAAAGGAGTACATCCACGACAGGGGTGCACAGAGCTGAGTCCTCCTCCCGGTCACTGCCCGGCAGAGCCAGTGCAGGGGCCCCAGCGGTGCCCACACAGGGCACCTCAAAACTGATGGCCTCCGAGGAGCAGGCTGCCCCGCAAGGTGCCTGCGGGCCCACGGGGCTGCCTGGCCTTACCTCTGCGCCTCTCACCTCCACAGGTCAAGCCAACCACCCAGGAGCAACCGTGAAGCCCACAGGACCAGCTGCCCGAGCTTTCCGCTTCGTGCCCAGGGGACCCCCTTCCTCCCCACCCTCTGCCCAGGACAGGCCCGATCACCCGCTGACGGAAGAGGCGGTGCAAGAGAGCTGCAGAAAGGCTCTGTGACACACTTGGGTCACATCCTAGGAAAAACGTCAAACTTAGGAAAAATGTTCAACTTATTTCAAATCAGTGTGTAAGGACATTTTTGTTCGCTGTGGTTTATATATACAATGGACTATTATTTGGTCTTAATAAGGAAGGAAATCCTGACACATGCAACAACAAAAACGAAGCTGAAGTCATGCTAACTGAAATACGCCAGTCACAAATGGAAGAACACTGCACGATTCCACTCATAGGAGAGGAGTCGAACTCGGAGAGAAAATGTGCTTACCAAGGGGCTGGAGAAGGAGACGGGGGAATTACTGTCTAATGGGCAGAATCCAATTTGGGAAGATGGGAAAGTTCTGCAGATGGATGGTAGTGACAGTTACACAACAGTGTGAATGATCAAAACGGTAAATTTTATGTTCTGCATATTTTACTGCAATTAAAAATTAGGATAAAAAAATTATCAATATTTATTGCAGATAAATCAGAAAATAAAGAAAAAGTAAAGGAAATTATCCATAATCCTCTGATCCCTCACAGAAACAAGATGATATAAGTTATTCTGTAAGCTGCTTTTCCCTTCCAACTTCCATAAAAACACTCAAGTTGTTGCACATTCTTTCACAGCATGCTTTAATCTTTGTGTGAACTACCAGTCAAGGCTGTGTTATCACACACAGAGGCTCCTTCCTAATTGTTGCATTTTCCTCTCTGTGCTTTTCGATCATGAACACACCCTACAAACATCCAGTTTCAGGGCCATGGGAGCCTCCATGACTCTCCAGCCTGTGTTTCTTCCACAAAGGAGAAGCAGGTGTCTGCCTCATCTGTTAAGGAAACCTGGAACTGTCAGTTCTGAATTCAAGTCCCCAGTCTCCATCTCACTACTTTATCTGACACCTCACGATTCCATTTACTTTTCTCCATTTCTAGTGGCCACTCCCTTGTCAGGTTTCTTCCACAAAGGAGAAGCAGGTGTCTGCCTCATCTGTTAAGGAAACCTGGAACTGTCAGTTCTGAATTCAAGTCCCCAGTCTCCATCTCACTACTTTCTCTGACACCTCACGATTCCATTTACTTTTCTCCATTTCTAGTGGCCACTCCCTTGTCAGGGGTGGCCCACTGCCCCAGGAATAAAATCCACACTCCCTGTCCCTGCTCCAGTCACCCC